ATATATATATATATTTCATATGATGTATATATTAATATATTGAGATACAATTAAGTTACGATAATTCTCATTGCGTAAGTTTTTATCATCTCGTGGTAATTGTTTAATTATAAGTTAGTACACGTACATTGTATGCGCAGATGTGTGTTATATCATTAATAATAGTGCAAAAAAATGTATGTCGATATATCCTTGTATTACATGCCTCTATTCAGTTTAACTCCTATCCATTATGTAATTTTTATTTTATTTTCACATTTAGATATTTAACATATGTTCGTATGTATGTGTATGTACTGTCGTAGGTACATCTACGAAAATTCCATCAAAATAAACGATTTCAAACATCTTAGTTTATACTTACATCGCTTAGTTTATACTTGTATTTTCTTCCTATATTAATTGATTCATCTCATTATTCTATTCATAAAAGTATTATATAATAGAATACGATTATCAAAAAATTAATAGGAGATACTGAGAACATTTTATGTCAAAATGTGCTAGTACAAAGTGTAAAATATCTCTTAATTGATTTTTTCATAAGTTTACTTTAATACTTTTATATGCAGAATAATTAATGGATAACATTATATAAAAAAAAATATAATTCCATTTAAAAAATGGACCTTTATATTTTTTTGGTCCTTCCATCTAAAAATAGATAACAAAATTAAATTTTCCCTCAAAACCGTTTTCTTCTGAAATATATTTTTTTACTGAAATGTGTTTTTCTTTTCAAGATATTTGCCTGGAACCAATTAAAATGGAACACTGCTACTAAGTATAATATAAATAAGTACATACGTATTATATATTTATTTATATTATACTTATGCACAGGTTTAAAACATTAAAATGCACAGGTTAAAATATACATACTATATATACAATATATATAAAAAATAAGAAAGAATCTATCAGTAAAAAAATAAACCGAGCCTACATCAGCTGTTCGGATGCACAGAAAATTTTTTATTTTCGTATGAAAGTAATAAAACGAATAAAATAATCGTTTTGACTCTTCAATTCGGGTCTTTATCAATATAAAATATAAATCAATATTACATAAGTAACGCAAATTCCAAGTTGATGATTTCCCGACAATTTAGTTCTTCTTTATCCAAATGCCAAATTAGCTATGTAATGAATAACCCAATGATTATCAAAAATATTAACTTATACAACAATAATATAAAAACTTACATAAAGTAAAACCGAAGTCATATACATTGATAAACACCCGATCATATATATTAATAAGGACCTGAATTAAAGAGTCGAAAAGGAGGAACGCGCGCAGTATAATATAAATAATTGGGAGTACAAATAAGTTTCCGCCGTTTGCAGAAGACGGCGCCACTAATAAACTATAATTAAAATTGTTTGATGTAAAACGACATATCGTAAGATTGGACATCCGGCAACACCATAACCTTGAAATATTAGCGATTTTGTATCAGCATCATATATTTTTTTTTGTACGAAAATGTCGAGTTTTGAGCCGAGTAAGTGTCATTTGCGGGAACTTTTGATTTACTTCTTTAATTTGAAGAAATCTGCAGCTGAGCCTCATAGATTGCTTGTAGAAGCATATGGTGATGCTGCCTTAAGTGAGAGAAGTTGTCGTGAGTGGTTTCAAAAGTTTAAGAACGGTGAATTTGATGTCGAAGACAAAGAACGTAGCGAAAGGCCGAAAGTGTACGAAGATGCGGAATTGGAAGCATTATTGGATGAAGGTTCGTGCCAAACGCAAAAAGAACTTGCACTTACATTAAGAGTGACTCAACAATTTCATATCGTTTGAAATCATTGGGAATGATTCAAAAGCAAGAGAATTGGGTTCCATATGAACTGAAGCCGAGAAACGTTGAAGAGAAACGCCAATTTTTCACATGTGAAATGCTGCTTGCCAGGCATAAACGAAAGGGTTTTTTGTATCATATAGTCACTGGTGAAAAATGGATCCACTACGATAACCCAAAAAAGAGAAAATCATGGGGACCACCTGGCCATGCTTCAACATCGACAACTAAGTCGAATATTCATGGAAAAAAACTCATGTTGTGTATTTGGTGGGATCAGCTTGGTGTCATGTATTATGAGTTGCTCAAACCGAACGAGACCATTACTGGGGCTCTCTATCGAACACAATTGATGAGATTGAGCTGAGCACTCAAGGAAAAACACGCCCACTACTACTCCAGGTATGACAAAATTATTCCCCTGCATGATAATGCTCGACCACATGTTGTGGCGCCGGTCAAAACCTACTTAGAAATACTCAAATAGGAAGTTCTACCCCATCCGCCGTATTCTCCAGACATTGCTCCTTCTGAATATCACTTGTTCCGATCGATGATGCATGGCCTGTCTGAACAGCACTTCACATCATATTATATGAAGATACCAAAAATTGTATCGATTATTGTATCGATATGATTAGATAGCCTCAAAAGATGAAGCGTTCTTTCGACGCGATATCCACATGCTACCAGAAAGATGGGAAAAAGTAGTGGCTAGCGATGGCCATTACTTTGAATAAAATATTATGTACCGTTCTTTCACAATAAATGCTTAATTTTTGATTAAAAACGGCGGAAACTTATTTGTATTCCCAATAAATAATAAAATTAATGTAGATCACGCACATTCATTTACTTGCATAAAATACAAAAA